GAGAGGTTTTCGTTGCAAAATAGAATTCTTGATGAAATATGTAAAACTAGTTTGATCAATCAAGANATTTTACGGTCACAGTTCAAAAATTTTCAAGGTCACAATTAATTCGTTGGTCACATATCAAAATTTATAGGTCACACAATCACAGATTTCCAAATTAATTGGTCACAGATTATATAATTTTTAGGTCACAGATAACAAAATGGTTGGTCACAGATTATAGAATTTTAGTGTCACATATTATATTTTTAGTTACAGAAAACCAAAATCACCAGATTCTCCACCTTCACCACCGTCGACTGCCACCACCATTGTCAACCCACCACACACCACATCAAGTAAATACCATTGCACACCGATAGTACCGCTACCACCGCACCCACAACACGCACCATCTCACGGCATCGATCTGGAAAAAGTTCCCAACTCCTAGATCCAATCTACGAACAACAACCTCTACCACCAACCACATTTAACTATTTAATGGTTTACCACCACCTCACCGTCGCAGATGTGGCCGCTACCACCATTAACAATTGTAAACACCAAGAGTACGCCAACTGTAAACACCCAGAGTACCCCCAGGCCAATCTAGAGTCACCACTGCCAACACGAGCACACCACTCGCAGCACGTCCTACCTAGATCCACCGCACCACCATCACCACACAACCTCACCAACACCACCCAAATCACCACTGCCAACAACCACCACTGCCGTCCTACCCAGATCTATCACATCACAATCACCACACCGTCGACGTTGCCGCGAACTGAGCAGCGTCGAACGCAGAGAGAGGCGAGGGAGAGAGGGGTAGGAGAAGGTGGGAGAAGGGAAGAGGATGGAGGCGAGAGAGAGATAGAGAGAGGAATGGATGAGAGATAAATTAGGTTGTAGACTGATTTCTAAAAATCAATCTTTAAACACTTGATTTTTTGTAATTTCCCTTAAATTTGTTTTTGGATTTTTAAATAAAATATTATTTAACAAAAAAATTGAAATAATTGTCAGGCCTTCTTGGTCAAGCTTGTTTTAATAAAAGATGATTAAACGTGAAGTTAAAAAATTAATAAAAATTGTGAATCCTATAACTTGTTTGGGAAAGTTTAAAATCCAATTAAAATTGAAAATATAGTCGTTATTGGATCCCACCCGTCTAATAAAAGTCAACAATAACGATTTATTTTTCAATTTTAATCTCTACCAAACATACTTCTATAAAATTTGTAATTAAAATTAATTGTTAAACGTAAAACTTATAATAGTTTACAACTCTGTTTTGGCACATCCCATTATGTGTGTGTGTGTGTGTGAATATGAAAGGTACAAGATTGCATGATTCTTATAAAAGGGTCATTTGAAAAAATATTTAGGGCCCGTTCGGTAGGGATTAAAATCAGATTAAAATTGAAAAAATAGCCGTTATTGTTGACTTTTATTAGACGAGTGGGACCCAATAACGGCCATATTTTCAATTTTAATTGGATTTTAATCCCTACCGAACGGGGCCTAAGCTTTCTTTCTTGCATACCGCACCTTTCTTTTGGATGGAGAAAATATGACCAACAGGGGACCTTTCGATAGGACTGTCGTTGCTCTTCCTTCAATAGATCAATTCAATTGTGGACACACACATAATGTCCGTCTTCAAAGATAATCTTTTCTAAATACAAATATAGATTTATGATTATATATTCCTCAAGAGATTTGAAAGAAGAGATTGAGAATAAAATGATTATCTACTTCGATTGCTAAGAAGTAGCATCATATAATTAAATATGAGATCTAATCGTCAAACACCACAATGTAGGATACATCTAGTCAACCCGTGAATAAGTTTCATATCCAGATTTTGTTTTCCAGGAATCACATTTAAGCACTTTAACAAAATGCATTCATACTATTAGTTAATCATCGAGTCCATATATTACAGCAAATGATAACATGAAAAGAAGCTTTACTTTCTGATTGTGACATACATTTATTGTTTTAGTTAGTTGATATAGATTTTGGGAGAGTCACACCAAAAAATCTAACCATTGAAGTTGAAGAGTCTAAGTCTATATAAACCACATACTGAAAGTTGGGGGATTCAAGTCTCATACCTTGCAATGAGAACCATAACAATTCAAGAAGCTTATTCTGTTTATATTATTATCAATAGTACAAAATTTGGCAATTCCATTACTAGAATAGTCTTTTTCAACAAATACACCATTTTAGGAAAGTGTAAGTTTGTTTGACTCATATGTGGACTTTATTCCCGATTTTCCCAACATATCACCACTTATAAGATTTCTATTCATATCCGGTACATGCAATACATTTATTAATGTGATCTTCTTGTCAAATATGAATTGCAAGTTTATGCTTCCTTTGCCAGCAACCTTTGATTGAACTTCATTCCCCATTTGAATATGCTCGTCATCCACTTCTTGATAGATTTTGAAAAGGGATCTATAAAAGCATAAGTGTATGGTGGCATAAGTATCATACCACCAACTTGAACCTTTACTTTGACCAAATTCACAATGCTTACAATAGCAAAGATGTAGTCAATGGAGTTCACTTTGCCTTCTTGCATTGATTGTTTGCAATTTCTACAATCTCGAGCATAATGTCCGAGTTTGTCACACACATTACAAGAAACTTTGAATTTCTTCTTGTGCTTGTTATCTTTGTTAGGGTTTGGGGATTTCCTCTTCTTGGAATCATTGTTGTATTTGTTTGGTTGATCCACAACATGAGCTTTGGAAGTGCCCTCATGAGAATGTTCATGGCCATCTCGTGCCCTTAACTCTTCCTCTATGCGAAGATACTTTTGAATTTCTTCCAAAGAGTAATCTTGGGAATTGCGAAAAATTTTATTCTTATAACTCTTCCATGAAGAAGGTAATTCGCATTGATTGCACCAACTTGAAAGGTTTCAGAAAGATTAATCTTTACATCCCTTATTTTATTGACAATAACTTGAAACTCATGTATTTTTCCTAACAATGACAAGTTATTCAAAAATTTGTAATCAAAATACTTAGAAATGAGAAATTTTTTGGTACCTTCCTCCTCGACCTTGTATTTGGTTTCCAATAACTCCCATATGCCATTTGCCGAGGTGTTATTTGTGTAGAGATCATAGAGGCGATCGGAGAAAGAGTTCACAATGTGTTCTCTACATATCAATTCATCTTCTTCTCTCTTCTTCCTTTCCGCCCTTGTTTTGTCGGTGCCATTTTGGGTTGGTTCTGTCAATGGTGCCAAGTTCGAATCCAAGATGTAAAAGATCTTCAAGGTTGTGAGAAGCAACTTCAACTTGTCCTTCCACCTCGTGAAGTTCGACTCGTCGAATTTTTCAAGTCTCACAAGGTCTTGATTCATCATCTTTATCGCAGTCATGGTTGTCTCGTTCTCCATGTTGAAAATATCGTTTGAGATTGTTAACAAAGTTGATGAAGAACAAAAATAAAATCAGCAACAAGAAATTGCCACAATAAAAGTTTGAACAAGATTATGAATCAATGTACTCAAATGATATTTGCCGCCACTGAAGTAAGTGTTTGAAGGCTTTTATGGTAAATAATTTGCACAAGTAAACAAACCTTAATCAAACAAACAAAACTTGGAAAAAAAAGGAACTAAAAAACAACATTATAACAACTTGGTTTGATCTTAGATTTTGGATGTAATGGAATCAATTTGATGGTTGTGATATCATTTCAATCATGAAAACCACTCATATATATAGAACTCGATCAACCATCCACGAAAATGTGCCAAAAAAGCCAAAAGGGTGTGAAACCCTTTAAAACAACACTAGAATTCAAAACCCTAACGAACAAATTTTTGTACTGAGCGGCCACCCAGTTAAACAAAATTGCCACTATAATTGAAACACGAGGTCGGCTAGGCCGCTTGGCCTTAAGCTTGGGCGACTTTTCTGCTTTCACCATTTTTTATTCTTGTTTTGTTTCTACTTGTTTTTCTCATGGCTAACCACTTTCATCATTTTCAAAATTACTCCTCATTGTTAATTTGAATAATATCCAACACAGCGATCCCGACGCCTACATCAAACTGGCTTTGTACAAACCCATGACTAATCCCGGATCTGCTATGCCTGCGTCACCATCCACTTTGCTCGATTGCAACCAAAAGACGTACCGCTCGGATACCATTGATATAGATTTTGAGATAATCATACCTCAAAAGCAAGCTATTGAATTTGGAGAGCTCAAATCTATATAAATCACACATCGAAAGTCCATACTTTCGATATGTAATTTCCCATACTTCGCAATGAAAACCATAACAATAGCTTATAATTAACTTGTGACTTTGTTATGCATGGTGGCATGTATTAGCGAAATCCCTTCACAAAATCTATTCTTTTCTAAATGGACCCCATTTACGAGTAATTGGGTTACTGATTACGCTCATGTACTTACCTTATATTAATTTCAAGATCAGCAGCATTTTCCAATGCTCTATAGACTTCAAATCCATCATTAGCTCCAAATCTCTTCGTGTCATCATTCGAGTATCCATAATCCCCTGAAAGAGGATCCTCAGGATGTGCTATCAACTGCCAATATTGATTGATTCTTAGTGTTTGTCGAAACATTTTGCTGTTTGTGTACAGTATTGTCTGTATGACTGGGTAAATTTTTATAAATAATTGTGATAAAACTTTAAAATGTTAAGACTGTGTGTTGAAATGCCTTAAAGATTCTGTTTTACAAGATCTGCATGTAAATATTTTGTATATCTACCCTTTTCCCGAACTCAACGCAATGCTGAAACAAAGATTCAATTCAATGAAGAACCTTGTAGAGTAAATCACATTCATGCACAAATATAAGTCATAGTACAATAACCATCAGATGAAAGAAACAACATAAAAACAAATTTATCTACTGTAATAGAATTCCTACCACTTTACATTTAAGTGATTCAATTTCCCTTCCTTGATCTACACTTCAAATAAACCCTAACATAATCCTCTAAGAAATAGAGTATCTTCTCTCTCTTGAAGTGGATTTTGTCTCCACTTGAATCATTGAAGTTGGGCTTTGAGAACTCCCAGAAGTATCAGAACTCTTATTCTCTCCATTTCCATGTCCTTTTCCCACAATCCACAGCTTATCGAAAATTTTCCTTGACCGAGATGGCGGCAGTTGCACGGGATCTCTGTTTTCACTACCTGTTTTCGTCAACTTTCCATTTTTCTGCAATTCACCTTCTTTTATTTTCATGTTGTCCATCTGTTTCCTCAGGGATTTACGGGGTTCTGGCACCATTTCAGCTAGATTTTCCTCAGTGCTTATTGAGGTATCCAATGCATCAGCATCAGTACTGTTGTTTATGCCTTGGATTCCAGCAGCAGATTTAACCTGTTCGAAAAATAAGACTTGCACAACAACACGAAGAGGTAGCTTTTCGTTTTGTACAGCGTGCATTGATGCATCCGTAGTCAATTTCTTAATGTCCATAAGCCCGCACAATTTCTTCCTCTCGGCTTTTGTAAGATTAGGATGTTCCTGCATATATTAAGCAACAAATTAAATCTTTAAACATTTTTTTTCAGCCTCCATAGATGCACTTCTTGAAAATATTTGCAAATAAAGTCACAAACCCCTTGCAGATCCAGCTTCACACAACCACGTATAAACACATCTGCGAAAACTTATGATCTATAACAACTGAATAGTCAAATTATGTGATCTACTGACTTGTTTAGGATGAAGTAGATAGCACGTGACAGTATGAAGCAAAAAGAGAAACTAAAATCTTGACATTTACACCAGTCGTATCCAATATTGTGTAAGAAATAATGTGAATGAAACGAACACAATAAAGCCATAATTATTTACGACTAGAATAGAGAAAAATATATGCCAAGGATAAGGAGATTCCTACCTTCAAATAGACATCAATGGCACTGTATATTCCATCATGAATTGGTCTAGCTGACTCAGGGATTGACTGCGATAGCTCAATAAAACTCGAGACAGTGAGATTTATATCCCGAGCAATTTCTGCAAGATAACCATCAACAACTTTTCCTACGTTCAACCAGGAACCATGTCCTAAAACAAAGTCATTCTCTTTCATTTTGTTTTTCTCACCAATATTAGAATCCATATTACGTTTCCAACGAGTCACAAATCGATCCACAAGAGACTGGACAAGTTCCACATCATAAATGGTCATTTGGGGAGATCTTGACAGGATCAACAGATCACTGACAGAAGCCTCTTCCAATTTCAAGCTGATACTTTCAATCAAATCTTCCCTAGACGAATCATCTGCTCCAACTAGAATAGCAACTTTCAGTAATTTTAGCAAGAAACTACAAGAACAGCTAATGCCTTTGTCCGAAGGCAATAGGCAAATTATAGTTTCGACCAAAGATTTGTTACCCTTTCTGTAAGCTTCAGATGCCAGAGATTCAATGGAATCTGGCAGCCATCTGACTGCATAAGTCTTCAGTGCTTCCCCAATAACACTTCCATCCATTCTACCTTTAGATTTCACAGTAGTCATAACCCGCTTGTACAGATCAATGTCTAATTCACATATATCTTCAATCCACCAATCCTTTGGAACGGATTCCAATTTCTTAGGAAACTTCATGACATTCTCAATTATCTTTTCTGAAGTTGCTGATTTCCGATTATATGTGTATGACCAAGTAACTTTCGAGGGATCCACTGAGGTTTTCGATGCAATGGAATCTATGCATCTGGCTACCACCTTTAGATTCTCAGACCATGGAAGAAGAGTCTTGCTAGTCTGCAGAACAATAATGGTATCTTTCCAACTTCGTAAAATACTCGAGTTGAGAAATACCTCAATCTTGAAAATCAGGTTTCCTCTCTCAACATCTTCAATCATCTCAAGATACTCTGCAGCACAACGTGCGGCTACAACATTGTAAGGATTAAGAGTAACTATCATTCCATAAGAGAATTTAGCACACATTTCAAATGCTTTTGGTCCACCAGGAAAATCAGCCAACTTAATTTCGTTTGAACTCTCCTCACTGGCTCTTGAAACAAGCTTTTGTAAGAGATTGCTCTTGGACAAGAGAGGAAACTGCAAACGCAAATCAGTACCATATGTCATCATAAAGCAGGATGAGTATTGAAAAGGAAAAACAGCATGTACGCACGAGAATAGGTAAAAAAATATTATTTTAAATTATATTAACCCCCCAAAAAAAAGAAAAAATAGAGCAAGTGAAAGATAATTTAAACTAAATTAATCTCCTTGCAATGAATACAAAAGATAAGTTGAGAACATTATGTATAAAGAATCTCTTACAGGAATTTATGTGTTTCACAATTCAATATGATCAGTAAATAAGGTAATTACACAGAAAAACACAAATGTATAGTTCCTTAACAAGGGATAAATATCTCGAGTTCAGAAATGTCAATAAACGAAATTATTCGTGAAATAAATTTATTTGAACTTGTTCACTACACAAATAGTTTGATAGAATTTACCTTGTGAAGATGAAACTTAACTTCACCAACAATTACGATAACATCTGTTGCCAGGTCAGATGACACATACCTGCCACAAGACAAATGACTTTTAGGGACATTAACATGCAAGCATATAGTTATTTAATTTAGAAAGTACCATTAACCTTGCAGCAGAGCAAGCAAAAGGTCACTATGATGAAACGTTCATATACACCCTCAAAAGTGGAAACCATCAATTGACCAACAAATGGTGAAATAAATACATTTTGGACTAACTTGGCCAAGGATGACATATGGCAGCATCAAGTTACTAGAGTATCAGACATGTAAATCAACTCAAGCATTATCAAACTGTACCTCTAGCAAACATCAAAAATACATTATACCAACAGTTATTAACGGATTTCTTTCACTTTTAGTTACTAACAAATTTCTTTCACTTCTGGTGATTAAAAGGCTGAGCTTAAATGAATTGGGAGTTCAATAAATTGATGCGAATCTCGAGAATATTTGTAAGCAAATATTTGAAATTTTGAACCAATACATAAATTTTAAAATACATGCTCCCCATCAGAGATACTGTGCAATGGTAATCTCAATCATAGGCAAATAGCAGTCCTTTATTGTGCAATGTTCATCTCAATCATAGGCAAATAGCAGGCCTGACCCTCTGCTAGAGGTATATGTATTCACAAAAGGCAAGGACACTTGGTCTAATAAGAGAGAGTGCCGAAAGGAAAGAAGTCAAGCCAGTTGTGTTCTTTCACTGTAAATATGTTAAAGTTGTAATTATTCTCTTAAAAAAACAATAGAAACAAACTTCTATCGACATGCAAATTAATTATTTATCCACTTTTCAGCTAAATGATTCCATCACGAGGCAAAACAATGTATATAATGAGAAAATCAATAAGCCAACGCACGAAGGGACCACAAAAAAGACATTAAAATTAATTAACCAAACAAAGAAGGCAATCATCAAAACATAAGCCATACGAGTTGCTTTTTCATTTCAATGCAATCCATGTACAAAGCACAAGTCTAAGCTTGTGTTTACACTTTACAGTTCCCAGTGGTCCCTTTATTTGGATATAGCATATTCAATAGGCAGAAGAATCACTTTTTTACAGTTCATGAAGATTATGGGGGAGAGAAATAATTAAAGACTTGGTCCATAAGGCCCATTCTATACAACTTTTCCAAAGTTGGACCATAACTCATTAAAATCAGTCAGTTAGACACCTGGACCACATTTTGGGTTGCCCATGCTAGTTGCTTCCAAGCCCCAAATTTCTTTACACACACACAGAGAGTAAGGCACAGAGAAGTGAAACTGTGAAATAAAATAATCCCAATCATAGAGGTAAAGGAAAACCCCCTGAAGTTGAGAAAGTATTATTTAACACTCATAGCATTTTTGGTAGGAGAATAGCACTAGACAGTACTAAAGGGAAAAAAAAAAAAAGGACTAAAATCTTCTTCATGACTGTGTCAACATGCTAAAAGTTTAGTTTATTCAAGCTGAAAAACTAAAACTTATTCGTATTCATGCTATACAGGTATATTTCTTCCCTAATCCAAGCAGAGTGGATACACACACTGTGTATGAATGTGGAGGAGCAGCATGGAAATAAACAAAATAAAAAGGTTCCTAAAAAGTTCATTCAGAACAAAAATGAGAAGCAAAATAACACAATCCAATGACATCAAAATTCCATTGAAGGCCACACCTCTTTATATTTGGAAATTCAAAGACGATAGCTTTTTAATATTCAAGATGAAACTTAACAATAATAAAAAAAACATATTACATATTATTGAGTTGATAATACAGAAACTTGTGTTTGTGTGCATGCATGAGGAGATACAAACATGGAAATACCAAAAAGTTCACTGCAACAAAATTTGATTCAAACTTCATATGCTAAAATGTGTATTCTAAATTCTAGCAAAAGGAAGGGAAATTTCTAAAGAAAATGAGAAAATGATGGCATCAAGCTTACCTTACACAGCTGCCTTCAGCTTGAAATGCATCAGGCTTTGATCCCAACTTCATAAACTTCATTTTCTTATTTCTAAAATTTGCCTCTTTACTCCCACAGAAGAACGTGTACTCACCCCAATCTCACTCAAGAAACACAAATAACTAATGAGCAGGCAAGTGAGCTGCAAATTCTGGGAAAACTGAAACTCCTTCACTGCATAAAAGGGACAAAAGCCCCAAACTTTATCCATTTGCCACTCATTTTATTCTCACTAGAATGCATATAAGAATATATGATCACAGAACTGCAAACCAAACACAAGAAAACAAACTCATCAGCTGAAAAATTGCCTCGACTCTCGAGCCAACAGAATCCAGAAAAAATATTCCCTTCTTTCTTTTCCCTCCTTATTTGCTTTTCTTACAAACAATACATCACATTGATGATGATACATTGCCATTACTGTGAAACATTATTTCACAACTACCCTGTAATTACACTCAGCCGCCTTTGCTTTAACTCCTACTGATTTTCCAAGATCTCTTCTTTAACTCACAAATTTCAAGATCCCACCTGCCCTGTTCTTTCTATATACTTGTGCGTATGTATACGTGTCTTTATCTTTATCTTTATCTTTATCTGTTCGTATGTGTAGCACTGATGGGGGACTGAATATACTGATGAAGTTGTCACTCTGCTTTTTCTGTATCCAGCAGAAGAGAGAAGTGTTGGTGTGTGTGCGTGCTGGGAATTGGGAAGAAGAGAGGGATCGCGTATGGGGTGGAGTGGGTGTGGTGGGGTTGAGCAGTAGGGTCCGAGTGTGTTGTGCTGACAGAGAGGATCAGAGAAAACTGGGAAAGAAATGTACTTTTTCGAGAAGCTTTATGCCATTGATCACGCCAACAATAGGGCGGTTTGATTTTTTTTCACCTTTTTTATGGGGAAAATTTAATTATTTTTCATTTATGTCGCGGAAAATTATTTTTCAATTAATCATATTCAGTAGAAATTAAAATTAAAATTTTATTTTAATTTAAAGTTAACAATTAATTTTAATCACACATCTTATGGGTCCACAACCTTTCAATTATGAAAGTTGGGAGATGGGTTAAAGTCGAGGGATAAGTTTTATGAATTTTATCCTATTCAAATTTCTAAATAAAAATATAAATTACCGTTTGATTTATTTCGGAATAAAGAAAATATTTTTGGATAATTTTACTTTTCAAACTGATGTCATATGGTTGTCATTCAATGTTCAAATAAACGTTGTCCATCAAGAAGGAACATTGGTGCACGATTTTAAAAGATTAAAATTATGGGTTCTTATGGCAGGTTGGAGATATGGGTGCCACACTTGCAAAAAATTTTATTGGGATTTAGCCTAAAATGATAATTATTAAAATTTTCACTACGTATAATGATATCTATATGAGCTTTTGCTCAAAATTATATATATAGATCAATGTGAGGTTAAATCTTTATTAGTCCAATATATACGGGAAAATTGGGGTAGGACATTCAAAACTTTCGAGATATTGTAGAAATGACTACACAATCTATTGTAGATTGGGTCCTTATGTTACGAAAATCAATGAAAATTAATGTGAAAGTCACTTGCGATTTTGACTTTCACATTATTAGTTCATCGTGTGAAGATCCAATATCACAATGTCAATAGGTTCGGGAGTCAAACTCCTTTTGAAGATTGATATGCAATTTTCAAACTACCTAAAATGCTGGAAAATCTAACCCTAGTTTTTCCAATAAATAGACATGTATAAATTTTGTTGACGCCGAAAATTGTATAAACAAAATTCAAACTAACTTAAGATGTAAATGAGAATTTTATTGATAGTGATTTGCAAATTACAATTGTAACTACAAATGTTTACTCTTTTTTCATTCAAAGAAATATTTGAAATATGAAGTGTTTTTAAGTTTTTTTTTTTTCCCAAGGCTCTCAATTGTCATTTTATAGGGAAATGTTCACATGCATTCTTCATTTCATTGTTTTATCAGCTACAGTATAGAGTTGAGAAAGTATATCATTGGCACATTTGATTGATTAGTATGCTCGGCTTGTCAGATCATCAAGAGTTAACCTTACATGTGGTCCCCACAATTAATGAACTATTTAGGGAATAAAGCTAAGGCATGTGATTGGTGAAATTGGCAGACGCTGATGTAAGACCTTCCAAATGTCACTTGTTGATTGATTATTTGTACAATGTGTAAGGAATCTTCAATCATTATGTCTCATCAAACTTCAGCAATAACTTAATAAGAGTTGATCTCAAATATCCAAACTTACATTAGCATGAGTTTAATGCATACAACAAACTGTACTTAATGACCTTGAAGGCCGGATGTCGACAAATTTAAACCTTAAGAGCATCTCTATACTCTCTATTTTTAAAGAGCATATTCTATCATTTGGAGAGTATCTATAGAGAGTTAAAATTTTGAAGTACTCCAACAAACTCTTTATATTTAACACTTAATTTTATTACTCCCAAAAAAATATTTATCATTTTTCTTTATCTTTTATTTTAACTAGTTTTTCTTTAAATTATTTTATTGTTTCCTACATTGAAAATTGAAACATTTTGAATGCATTTAATTATAGAGAATGAGTTTGGCTCTCCAAATTCCAAACACGTTCTATAAATTAAAATATTAATTTAAAGAGTCTCTTGAAGTATGATTTTAAATGTTGACTTTTTAAAATACGAGTATCTAATGTTTAAAAAATCTCTTGGAGATGCTCTAAGATATTGCAAAGCAGTATTTATTGATTCACACAATCGTCTGTGTTTGTTGCATACGACTCAATTTATTGCGTAAGCTAAATTTTGAGTATTGAACTTACACTATTTAAGGTGTGTTATTCATTTGATTCGCTGAATAATTGTAGTGTTCTCCCACAATTTCAATAAATTTTGTAGTGTCAAACAAAAAAGAATACTGATAGACCAGTTCAACCATCAATTCCAATATATTCTCCTAATTTTGTTCGATGATCAATCAAATAGACCAGTTCACAAGTTGACATAAAATAGGGAGTCAAACCACCGTGCACAATATTATTAGTTTTTTACAATAAACATATAATTGACTCCAATATCACAATGTCAATAGGTTCCAGAGTCAAACTCCTTCTTTTGAAGATTGATATACAATTTTCAAACTACCTAAAATGCTGGAAAATCTAACCCTAGTTTTTTCAATAAATAGACGTGTATAAATTTTGTTGACGTTGAAAATTGTATAAACGAGATTCAAACTAACTTGAGATGTAAATGAGAATTTTATTGATAGTGATTTGCAAATTACAATTGTAACTACATATGTTTACTCTTTTTTCCTTCAAAGAAATATTTGAAATATGAAGTGTTTTTAAGTTTTTTTCCCAAGGCTCTCAATTTTCTTTTTATAGGGAAATGTTCACATGCATTCTTCATTTCATTGTTTTATCAGCTACAGTATAGAGTTGAAAAAGTATATCATTGGCATGTTTTGATTGATTAGTTAGCTCGGCTTGTCAGATTATCAAGAGTTAACCTTACATGTGGTCTCCAACAATTTATAAACTATTTAGGGAATAAAGCTAAGGCATGTGATTGGTGGAATTGGCAGACGCTGATGTAAGACCTTTCAAGTGTCACTTGTTGATTGATTATTTGTACAATGTTTAAAGAACCTTCAATCATTATGTCTCATCAAATCTCAGCAATAACTTAATACGAGTTGATCTCAAATACCCAAACTTACATTAGCATGAGTTTAATGCATATAACAAATCGTACTTAATGACCTTGAAGGTCGGATGTCAACAAGTTTAAACCTTAAGAGCATCTCCAATACTCTCTATTTTTAAAGAGCATATTCTATCATTTGGACAGTATCTATAGAGAGTTAAAAATTTGAAGCACTCCAACAAACTCTTTATATTTAACACTTAATTTTATTACTCCCAAAAAATATTTATCATTTTTCTTTATCTTTTATTTTAACTAGTTTTTTTTAAAATTATTTTATTGTTTTCCTATATTGAAAATTGAAACATTTTGAATGCATTTAATTATAAAAAGTGAGTTTGACTCTCCAAATTCTAAACATATTCTATAAATTAAAATATTAATTTAAAGAGTCTCTTGAAGTATGATTTTAAATGTTGACTTTTTAAAATACAGAGTATCTCATGTTTAAAAAGTCCCTTGGAGATGCTCTAAGATATTGCAAAGCAGTATTCATTGATTCACACAATCGTCTGTGTTTGTTTCATACGACTCAATTTATTGCGTAAGCTAAATTTCGATTATTGAACTTACACTATTTAAGGTGTGTTATTCATTTGATTCGCTGAATAATTGTAGTGTTCTCCTACAATTTCAATAAAGAATACTGATAGACCAGTTCAACCATCAATTCCAATATATTCTCCTAATTTTGTTCGATGATCAATCAAATAGACCAGTTCGCAAGTTGACATAAAATAGGGAGTCAAACCACCGTGCACAATATTATTAGTTTTTACAATAAACATATAATTGACAAGTCAATCTTGGATTGTTTGACTAATTTATTTGCTTTCCTCGAAGAAAATTGCAAAGGATACTTGTACCATGACTCGACAAATTGTTAATAATCATCTTTGAATCTCATTTTAAAGGCTTTTAATCCGTCCAATTTAAAAAAGGATGATACAAAAATTCATTATACCCGATATTTGTGGGCTCTGTCCAGAATGAGGCAAAGATTTTCTGTCTAATCGGGTACATGAGCGAAGGATGGAGATTCGAGTCTTTTTCAAGGCATAATGCGGGACGGAAGTATTTGCCTTGACAAAGGGACACGATAGGTACGTGGAACATGATCCTTGCCTCGTTACTCATTCTGTTTAAAATTCATTTTAAAATACAAATATTTTATCACATAACAAGAAAAGAATTATCATCATTTCTAGATGAAACGTTATTATTATTATTATTATTATTTATTTTACAATTTAGAAAAAAGTAATGGTTTTCATCAACCAAAAATAACATATCAAAAAAAGAATGAATTTTTTAAAATT